GTTTTTTAAAGTGTATTTATAATTGATATTTTGATATGTCACTCAGCTTTTTAAATATTACATAATGATGCCATGGGCCTTGGCAACGTTTGCACTTTGAAAGCAGCTCTTGTGTCAGAGATCCACACCTTAGGGTCTCTAGCAGCAATACTATAGCACAACCAATAAATAACAGATGTCACTCATTAATCTAATGTCATAATTGCATATATTTTGATGGCAATAAATTTTGCTAATGGTTCTGGTGAAGATGTGCAAACTCTTTCTCTTTTTGCAACTGTATTAAATCAGCATTGCAGACAGAAGACAAAGTGGTAATGAAGACTCATAGCTGTGCTGAGGTTAAGGAGGTTCTTGCACATAGGTATTATTTCTATAGTTTTACTATTATCAAAATCAATTAATGTTTTTTCTAGACAACATTCCTGCTTCTGAAGTCGTTCTTTAATTCAGCTGAATAATTAGCAGTGTGAAAAAACTGAAAGGAGGGTTACCTAATTGTTCTTTTACCCCAAAATGTTTAGTACAGCAAGTAATTCTGAAAAGTCACAGTTTTCAATCCAAACTTAAGTTTTCCAGTATATGACATTTCAAACTTTCAGGTGACTCAGATGTTATGTTGCACGAAAGCTTTGAAAGAAAATTACCTTCATTTCTGCAACATCAGTCCCAACACATAACTCAGCTCCCATCGTTTAACCAAGAGTTTATAGCAAGGTGAATTTAATTTTCCAAGACCTTTTTCTGTAGATACACTTTTTCCCAGAAAGTTTGCATCTGTAGGACTGAAGTGTAGGCCCTCTCCCTGAGTCTTACAGAATATTTGCATCTTTCCAACGTTCCACTGTGAGTACAAAACTCAAATTTACATTTTTACAGATGCAAATTTACAGGGTGTTTTTTTGAAAGCTTCACCAAATAAAAAAAAAAGGTAATAAAGGTAATAACTTTTTAAAACTGTCATAAACAGTTGGAGAACTGAATAAAAGATAATAAATGTAGTTTGTGCCATGCAGTGAGTTTATATCTTTGCGATCTCAACTGTTCAATAAACCATTCTAGGTAAGAGTGAATTCTAGTGAGCTCTCCAGTCCATGATCTGGTTTAAAGGCAAACATGACTCAGTTTCTCTAACCCATTCTTTACTATTTTTTACTATTAAAAATAAAAGGTTTCTTTACTATTAAAATCATTCACCTTTTTTTTTCCCTTTTCAACAGAAAATAGCTTAGGCTTTAATTCCTCATAACTATGCACCTCCAAGCAGGAGGCCACAGCAAAGATCAGCCGCTCTTTTCCTGCACTCAAAGAAAAGAGTAAAAGAAAATGTATATTTACCCTTATACTCCAAGGAGAGCACAGAAAACCTCCTGTCTCAGAATCTGCAATGCCCTCTCTTGCACTCCTCCTGAATGCTGTGATTCCCTGGGTGCTGATACAGAGGCTAAACACATTTTAAGAGTTAGAAAGATTTTAAGCTTTTCAGTTGATGTAGGAAGGAAAGCAAAGAAACATAGCTCAAGAATAAACATGTAACACGGGAGGGAAGCAGCACCTGAATAGGTTCTTTTTCTCCTCAAGAAGCTACTAGGTAAGATTTTCTTTCCTTCTCTTCCTAGCCCTGATGCAAGGGGCAATGTTTCACTCCTTAAAGTTTGTGTCTGAATATCACATTTCAGTTCCTTTCTCTCCTGAGTTTCTAAAAATTAGTAAGAAAATAAAAATAATCTTCACTGAAGAAACTAACTCAAGCCAGTTGCCCTCTATAATTCAGGAAAGAAAAGCATTTAGCATTTCAGGATGAAGAGTGCAATATTAATCATAATAAAATAGGAGAAAATGCAGACCTTTGCAGTCTCTCCAGGTGATTTCAAACTTTTGTCTCCTATTGCATATGCAAAAGCAATAATAAAACTTTAAAAACATCAGTTTATATAGCACAGCATAGTCTGTCCTTCAATATTTTTACTGTATTTTTTCCCACAAAGCAATTTGAACCTGGTCTTTATATGTTTTAAAAGCCTTATATACACAATTCATCCAAAGACTTATTACATTTCCATTCATGTCTCCAAGTAGTAATGCCTTCTGTCACTAGAAAATGGTTTCAAAATGTCAATAATTTTAAGGCTTATGTCTATACTATTTAATTAACTAAATGATAAGGGTGGGGTTTTTTCCACCCTTTATTTATTAGATGGCAAGTCTGAAAAAAACATAAAGGGAAATCCATCTGAACCCAAGAGGTTGTGTCCCAGGAGATCATCAGGAGAAAATACAGTGATTTTTTATTACTCTAAGCTTGATTAAATTGTAATGTACAGAAATCCTTCCCACCCCACCAAGCATTTAATTAATGATAAAATAAGAGCCATGTGCTTTTAAAGGATTTAAGATTTACTTTGACAGGTAAACTGTATTTTTATCTCACCTTTAAAAGCTTAAGTACTGTCTGATTTAACAAAAGATAGAAAATATTAAACATTAAACTAGATGAAGATTGTTCTTGCCTGAAAGAACAGGAGTTTCCTGCAACTTGAATTCTTGCAGAGCTAATGCCCTGACTTTTAGAAGCTCTAATAGATCCCTGCTTTTGTTGCTGTTAGAATTACTGCCCCTATTGAAAGAATGCTTAGGAGCCATGTCTAAATTAAGAACCTACATAACACAGAAACATAGCAAAAATATGACTCTGTGAAGAATGAGTTTTTAATGTGTTACAAAACACCTTATTATGAAATGCAATAGATAAATTCTTAAGCAGACTTTTGTAAACGGAGGAGGTGGGAATGAAAGTGAGTTCTAAAACACACTCCAAATTAAAGACCTTTAGGAGGACACCATCAATTTAGCACTCAGTGCCTCTTAAAAATGAAAGGTTTATTTACTGCTTTTATAAGTAACTAATTCTATACAGAAATATAAATGTTGGGCAGGGGGAACTGCACAAGGCTACAGTATTCCACATGCAACCCTGTAACGTTTTCATGGGCAATTTTGATCAAAGAGATCCCTGCCAACAGGGAAGTGCAAATGCAACCACTTTTCCCAGTCTCCAGAGGATTCTCGGACTCTTCCAGCCTGTATCCCTGCTTTTAAGGGCCTAAATATGCAGTGCTAGGTCTGGCTGCTTGAAGAAATCATGGAGATTTCCCTAAGAAGTGAAACATCAGGGCTTCCTCTCATGTCCTGAGGTATCCCAGAATATCACTCTGCTCCCGCAGATTTGGAATGGGCAGCTTTAGGATAGCAGGGCACTCACTGCAAGGACAGCCTGAGCCTAACACTGCACTGCCTGAGAGTCTGTCCCCTCCACAGCTCTGGGCAGGAACAAATGCACACATGGCAGAGCCCAGAGCAGCACTGCAGCCTGTCCAGTCTGGAAAACAGGAGAGGACAAGTCCTGGGCTAGCAGGAAATGCCTGTCTGAGGAGCAGTGGGAGAACAAGGGTGGAAGCGTGGCGTGGGAAAAGGGCAGGGTTACTGCCTCACCTGAACAAAGGCAGCCTTACAGAAAACAGTCCATTGGTGGAGGGATCCTTGGAGATTCTTCATAACTAGCTGTGGTTGTTGAAGTATGATTCTGTCCTGAAAACTGACTAAAACAGAAAGTTCTGAACTATTTTTCTAGCATTTCCTGAATGAAAATGTACAGCTTATAATTAAAAAAACTGGTTTTTTTGCAACTGCTGACTCTGTATTCCTCGTAGCACGTGTACTCATGCACAGCATCATCAGCTGTGCAGCCACTGAAGCCACAGTCTGCCTGCAAGGACACCTGTGGTCCCCTGTATGTGACTCACCACAGCTTGGAGCTGCTGATGTAAAAGGTGTGACAACACCCATGCCATTGTCTCCACACTGCTGAAAAGCAGGAGACTTGGCTGCTTCTTTAATGTGACAGTCTGAGTGTCTGGCTATGAATGCACATGACCTCTAGGGTTTCTCATAAGAAGGAGGCTTTTTTTTAATAAGTATTTTGCTTTAAGATGCCTAGAGCTTTCCATGTAGAAAAATAGGTTCCCTAAAATTCTGGATTCACATATTGCAGGAAATCCTATTTTCACTGAAAAATGGTATTACAAGCATCTGCAAAAATCCTGAAAATAGTACAGGTCTTTAGTCTAATGAGTGGGATGCAGAAAGTCCTGCAAGCTTCCAGGCATTAATAGGACCTTATGCTCATTGGAGGCCAATTGTTTTCCTTTCCTAACATTAGCCTTGCTATCTAAAAGAAAGAAAAGGATCTAATGTCTATGAAGCAAATTTTTTTGGCAGAGAAGGTGCAGACAGCTCTTCCACACCCAAACATGTTATTTATGACAATAATCTAATTACTTTGTAAGCATAAAAAGTCAGTATTGAAGCTACTCCAATAAATTTAAGCAAATCAAGCTACAGACAACTGCTAAGAGGAAAACCTGGTAACATAAGACAGACAAGATAAGATAAAGAGATCTGGCTATATTCTACTATAAATTAAACTCCCATTAACTTCATGTAGTTCAATCAATGAGTTTTGTGGGCGCAAATGATGGCTGAGCTTGGCCTAAAACCCTAGAATATTTAGTTACAACTTGATGATCTAGTTGGTCTTAACTCAGTCAAGCAAAGACTCACAGGGTATTAAATTGCTGCTCATGTAATTACATGATTAGGTGATAGTTTCCAGTTGTGCCAACCTAGCTACAGTAGGCGTGAGACAACTTTTTCTCTCCTTCTAAAAAGGTCAGCAAATGGAGAAATTATTACTGTGGCATGATTCAGATTTGCAGGTTCAGTTGCCAGTGTTCCCACCCCTGAATGGGCACACACTGACTGTGCCTGCAGTGGTTCCTTTGCTGTACATGCACAGGCAGTCATGTCCCAAGGTGCACCGAGTGCAGCTGTGTCCCAGCTGGCTTGTCTGCCTCCTCCTGAGGCTGGTGAGCACAGAAAGGGAGCATCTGTAGTTATGTGCTTCTCTATGACATGCAGAGCAGAACTTACTATGCAAGAGGATTACACAGCTGTTTCTGTATGATTCTCCTCAGTTCTGGTAATCAGGGAAGGGAGGCCACAGCTTCTCTCTGTTATTTCCATCCTTCTCTTGAGAATTTGTATTTGGTATACAGAGATGTTGTTGCTGTCTCTTATTTTTTCTATAACCATCTCCTCTGCTCCTGTTCTCTTCTTTCATCATCCTTGACCAGACCAGAAGGGGGTAATATTTTCGTAAGAATGGCCTTTTCTTTGAATCTGCAAAACTTTGTCTACATTTCAGCACAAAAGTGCACACTTGCAGATCTAACTGATTTCCTGAACACAACCTTCACCCCAGTGTACACAGGGACCCAGAGCAGCCTACTGAACTTGCTCCACGTCTGAGCCATGTCTTTCATGAAATCTTGCTTGGGGCAATTCTGGATTGCTCCCTTTGAGAAGTCTAATTCCACCTCCTCTAGACTCATGCCCTAAACTCAAACTTAATGAATTTCAGCATAACCATTCTTTCCATATTAAACATATAAAAGCATTATGAATAGAATTGTCTCATATGAAGTTTTAAAAAAACCTTATAATTTCAGCTGTGAACAACTGCAGTGTATTTAATTCTGGTTTGCTATCTGTATGTGCATCTGTGCTTACCCTTTGCATTGCTGGGTATAGGATGGGGCAACGAGAGCACTCCTAACGTAAGTGTGTGTCATCCACTGCAGTCTGACTGCAGCCTGCAATGTATCATGGAGCTTTCAATTATACAGTCCAATAAACTGCAGCTATCTAACACCACCCTACCCTTACGTAACCCCAGAGCTGTAACACTTTGGCACCAGACAATGTTTTGTTTGCTTACATGATTATGACCTTAAGGCAAGAACTGCACCTGGGTGTATGACACAGTCTCGGGGCACTTATAACAGAAACGCCGTCTGCCTTACAGAGCTGGTTAAGAGGTTGAGAGCTTTTCTGTCACATTTTGGTGTTAGCTAAAACCCCTTGGGGAAATAATGGAAACAAAAGTATGATTTTGCCTGTTTAAATTGCATCCATTCTAGTAGGACTTGCTTGTTAAAACTCAATCACCAAATCTTTTTGGTACAGTCTATTCCTAAGGCAGGAGAGATTTTCCCATTACTTTGCAGGTTCTGAATGCGACTGCCTTGCAAGTGAAAATAAGCAATTAAGTTTGCTCAAGATAAATCTAGTCACATCCCAGAAATGGTAAGATTCATATAACTTACAGCTGCAGAGAAGAAAAAGTTTTCAGACTATAGACATCATTTGATAGCTTCCATACAGCTTCCATCCTTGTTCAGCAAAGCACTTAGGCATATATATAAAAAGCAGATTTTCAAAGACACAGAAATGGATCAGCTAGTCTGTCTCAAATTAAAGGCCTTTTGTATCTTTGAATATCTTTCCTATCAACTTTATTAGGACCTAAACATGTGCTGGAAGCTAAGCAGAGGCTTTAGAACTGAACAAACATTCTTTTAAGCAAATATTTAAATGTGTTGCTGAACTTCATTCTGAAGGGAACCAACATAAAACGGAAGCTAGTTTAAATTCACTTAGAATTCTCCAGTGTGAATTATTCAGATATCCCCACTTCAGCTGCAGAGCCAGTGAAATATTTTGATAAAGTCAGCATAACAATAACACTGTAATCGCCAGAAAGTTGTCCCATTCCAGATTTTCAGCAATAAACACTAAAAGCTTTTTGAACTATCTTTCATAACTTTTATAGTAATTTCTTCACTGCTTATAACAACAATCTATAACTGAAAACTTACCATACAGAATTAATTCCCTCTTCACTTTCAGATGCAGAGTTTTGTTGTAGAGGCTGTGAGATCTTGTTTATGGTCCAAATTCTGATCTGTATCCCATCATTGTACTTGAAAACTGTTTTCTGTGGGGAGAGAAGTCCTCATTAGCAGACATTCTTCCTGGTGACAGAGCCAGGGAAAATAAAAAGCAAATGTGCACTGCAGCAAAGGCAACAATGGCACACATGCCACTAATCTCAAATTCTAGCACTGCTTCAATATTCAACAGTGTTTTCAGCTGTACCAGGACAAAAGTTGCAAACTAACCAATAACATTTGGCAGACACACGGGTGATTTTACATTTCTCTTTCAAACACAGGCACTGGGGTGTGGGTGTGTGGGACAGGCTGTCCTCAGCCGAGGAGTCCATGGCGGGCCCATGACAATGACCATTGGATTTGCAATGGCAGTGACCGTAGCAGTGTATGTGACTGGGGGTGTTTCTGGTAAGTGACTTGTTTTCTCATATAGCATTTATTGCTCCAGTTTTAAGGCTCCCTTGTTAAAGTACTTCCATTCCATGGTATAAACAATGCAACAGTAAGCACTGTTACAGCAGAGTCACATCAGCGTTTTGCTAGTAAATCCTTTATGTTGTTGTTTCCTTCTATTCTTTGTGTTTGATGAAATCTTCCACCAAATTCTTGTCTGAACTACAGTGTGCAAGCCTTGGCAGACCTCTGGCTTTTACAGAAAGTATTCTGTGCAAACCAGAAATCTGCTTGGTGTTGCTTAGAAAATTCTGTCTGTAGAGATGATCCTGGACAGCACAGGCACCGCGTTTAAAGAATTAACTGTGAAAAGCAATCCAGCAGTCACCAGATAAAATGGTGGCCAGCTACCTAGAAGGTAGAATGGCCCACTAATGGGTGTAATGAGCAGGGTTCACCTTGCAGAGTGCAATTCATCTCTTCATGTTCAGTGACAGGCAATAGCCAGTCTGCTATTGCAGAAACAGCAAAAAGATTCAGTACTAGAGACACATTCAGTGATACACTGTCAATGTAATGCCATTGAGCCTTTGTTTCTGCTCTTCCTCAACATTGGTCAGGAATCTCTCTTTTGCCTGTAGCTGGGCTAACTCATCATTGTCTACATGTGCCATATGGGATACTGCTTCCCCTCCTATTTCCATCATTGAGTTTGGCCAAACTAATATCAGAAACATTAGCACAACTGCTCTTAACATTTAAATTCTCCCTTTAATAGAAAATGATGGGCTGTAACAATAAACAGTGTTGTGCATTATAATACACAATACTTCATGTTCTATGCAGAGTTTATATTGACCTCTTAAAGAAAACGGTGCCCTTGTGCTCCAGTTCTCATAGAGGCATTTCCTACCCTTCATAAAGAGGGTAAAGTTGGTCCAGACAACTTTCTGTAGGTATAACCAGGCCATTATAAACAGTTGCTGTAGCAGACATTACTGGGGCTATTTCTCTTCTCTTTTACAAATACTTTTACAGAGGCATCAGGAGGTTTCCAAGTTCACATTAGAAAGTGCTCAAGGTTCTACAAAACAGGCAGTCTTATAACTGTCATTGAAACAGAGCAGAACTGTGCCTTAATACCACATAAAGTTAATTCAGCAGCACAATCTTATTATCTGAACAACTTTAAACTACAGCTCTTGGTTTACATATAGGCAGGGAAACTCTTCTAATGCAGTAGCATGAAAACAAACCTGTGAAGACCTGTCCTACATTTGCATCTTTACGGGATATTCATCTCCGTTATTATGTAGAAAATTAGAGTTCAATCCCAGCAGGGCAGAGCAGTTGCAGATGTTGCAGTATTGTGCTTCCTGTGTTTCTCCCATGACAAAGGATTCTGCACACAGTGCGTTTTCTCTGTGAAGGAAGAGGAACAGATATTTCAACAGGCTGTAGTTATCCAACATATGATCACTATGTGAACACTTCAGAATACCAGTTCCTAATATAGAATTTGTTAGCAATTTCTGTGGCTGTTTGGCCATGAAGTCTCATGTTTAAGTACTGCTAAAATATTTTGCATCAGTTCTTTACGAAATTCTAAATTCGTGGTAACAAAAAGTATAGTCTGCATGCTTGGTGATTTTTAGCTTTTTTACTTAGGAAAATTCCTCTTTTTATTTTTCTCCATCTAATTTTCCTCAATATCTAGATAATTTCCCACTATTTTTTCCAATGTAACATTTCAAACTCATGACTGTGATCACTGCAACTACAAAAGAATGGGGAACACACTGTCCAAAGTGGACTTTTTTTTTTTTTTTAACCAGGACACTAGCAGTGGTACAAGAACCAAGAAATCTTTTAACTCCCTTGTGTCAGCATGAGAGCCTTCAACTAGACTTTTCCTTTCCAGACTTCATGTTAATCAGCCATCACTAATATTATTTTGACTTGTCCTGGCCATCATAATCACCCTGTATTATATACAGGTGGGGAACAATATCAGGTGTTGAAAGAAACAAAAATTATTCATTCCAGCCTGAGTAAGGAACAAAAGACAAGACAACAATTAATCAAAATTCACATGAAGGGCTGTTAAACAAGGTGCCATCTATCTATTTTCTCTCTGCTGAAGAATTTGAAACACAGTGAGGAATTCAAAATTAATTCAAGACTGGTGCTGCTAGGTCAGAGTTTTGGAAATGGTACAAAGAAGGTTTTATCCAACTTGTTATCTGTGTTTGTCAGTTCATTATGTATCAAAGGTGCCTGGATTTCATAAGATAATGACTCACTGACCTGAAGTGCAAACAAACACAGAAACTGTACATAGAGGCCCTTTCTCCATCACTAACCTTTGACAGATAAAGGACATGCTCTCTCAGGTTTTTTACCAAAGAAAAGGGCCATTTTTTCTGATATCCATCCAGACTGAAATGAGACTTTACCTGGAAGATAAGCAATGGATCCTATGTCCTTGCAGTATTTTTACTGTGGAGTGCTTTTTCATCTGTTTATTTATTTGCCAATTTGTATTTCTTAAAGAACAACTACATATTTGTAAACAATGAAGTTTTCCAAAAGCACCCAACACTTTTGTCCCATGTAGATAAAATGTTTTGAGGGAAGCAAATATCATGTGACATAATAAATATATTTTAAAAACTAAAATTATCACAAGGAATTCCATTGTTACATCCTTTTTATGTATGAGTTCAGATGGAGCTACTCCTGAATAAAAAGGAAGGAAGTTTCACAGGAAACAGAACTCTGTTTCAGCACAGCTACTTTATCAGTTCCCTTATTGTGGACTTGATGAAAGCCTGTGATGAAGAGCTATGCACTGCTGTCCCCAGATCCCATGTAGGCATAGCTCCCCAACAGCCAGCATGAAGCTGGACAGCCCTAACATAATTTTATTTTGTCTTCTTGAAAACGGAGTTCCTAAGTAACCCCAGGGTGAAGACAGGGTCATAAACATGACTTAAATCCAGGGTACTCCAGATCTGCCTCAAGATACGTGATCAAGCCAGTGATAGTCCTTAATCATAATACATTCTCGTGAAACCAAATTAATGCTCTGCTGCCCCAATCCTACCCTAAAAGTACAAAGCCAAAGGCCTCAAGGAGAGAGAATATGTTCAGAATGTGGGACCCTCCCCTCACAACGGATAGGGCAGATTTAGGTTTTTCTAGAAAAGTTGTCTGTAGATCTATAGATTACAGACTGCAGGACAGCAGTTTGATAAACACTACAGTCCACAAACACCAAGAACGAAGATGGAGCTTGGTGGCTTTAGCCCTCCCTCCTCTAATTTCATCCAGCTTGTTTCAGTTTCATTCCAGTCAACATTTAAGTGCAGAATAACGTGTAGAAAAGCATGTACTAGTCTTGTGCTCAAACATGCCCGCATTTTTACAAATCCTTCACCTATTCTCATGTATCTGATTCATCGACGTGACTTATTTTGTGATTTATTTTTCAGGTGGTCACATAAACCCAGCTGTTTCATTAGCCATGTGCGTGACTGGAAGATTAAAATGGACCAAATTACCAATTTACATATTAGCACAACTCCTGGGAGCATTTGTTGGAGCAGCGGCTGTCTTTGGGATTTATTATGGTGAGTACACCTTAGACATGTTCACAGGACAAACTAGAGGTCAGGCAGTCTCTAAGGCCCCAATTTCTCAATGAATGTCAAGCAGGAAGAGGACTCTTGTTCAGACAGGGCTAATGGCAGGACTGAAGCTAAAATCATAAAGAAGAAAGGGAGAAGCATAAAGAGTTTGAAGGGAAAAACAATGGCTTGAACATTCCAAGTATCCTACAGATTTACTGAAACACTAATGCTCCAGGAAATGTTCTGATATTTAGAAAAATTATTCATGGGAAATCAGATACTCTGAGATCATGTATTTCTCAGTGAGGATTTTAAATTACTTAATAGCCAGGATACAGGGCTATCCATCTTCCAAGCAAATTAGAAACATTAAAGACCTGCTACAAGTGCCTGTAGGCAAATATCACCAACATCGTTCATTGAGGGTACAGGATATGAGATCAAGTCCCTCCTGACCAAACTTCAGACCACCCTAGAGAGATGGCTCTCCAAGGCAATGAACTGCAGGTAGAGTGATAAAGAGGTCACATATTAGAGAGGGAAAAGAAAAAAAGATTACCATTATCCTTGAGGCATGTTTTTTTCCCACAGCATGCCACAAAAGGAAAAAACTTAGTAACAGGCTGACTGACTGGATGAATCCATTCAGTCAGATCAGTTATTCAATCCCCCACTCCAAAACTTTGCTTCTACTGGCCCAGCCTGTCTCCTCCAAAGTCTCTCTCCTATGGGTATAATGTCTGCAGATAGTGCTGGGTCAAGGTGCAATAGAGGGAAAATACAAATGGAAATGACCATTATTTGTCAGCTCAGGGCTCAGTACCCACAGTAACCCTGAGGAGAAAAATCTTTGGGAACCATCATAATTGTTTTGAGTTTGGTGGCTTTTCTTTGTTTTTAAAGTTAATGTTAGAATTTGGAAACTGTGGGATTGCAGAACAGGATTTCCATCTCAGTTTGAGTTGTCCTCAAGTCTGACAGCAGAATTACATCTGTGGCCAGGATGCAGCAGTGTGTCAATATGATATGGGGTTGGAGGTGGAACCACTATTCTGCTAAAAGGGCAGCAGTAGGGTAGGGAGCCAAAATAGGGAACATAGGGCTGGGGTTAGGGTTGGAGGCATCTTCCTGGTGTTCAGGAGTGCGGGATTTTCTCATCTCCCTATCTCTGCTCAAGTACTTTGCCCTCCTCTTGTTATTATTAAATCTCAAACCTCTCCTGTACTTTTTCCTTCCTGCAACTTGCAGGATTGTCTTGTACTCATTGAGGTCCAGTGAAAACTCTATAGTTGAAAAACAGACAGTGGAGCTCATCCTTTTATTTTTTCCTAATAGTTAAGTGCAAAAAAATAATCCAACATTACAAATGAGAGCCTGATCGAAGTAAACAACTAAATATTCTCTGCATCCATGTTGTGCCTTAAGCAAAACTAGAAAAAACACAGGAGCAAGGAGAATTAGATTTTTCTGTTAGCTTCAGGAGACGGGGAGCTGTTTCTTTACTTGCAAGTATCATCTCATCACTGGATCCACTAATAAAATAATGGATTAGAGTTTGTTTTCCATGTCTGTCTATGGAGATTTGAGTGCTTCATCTCAGTGTCCTCTTATTTCTAAATACTTATTTCTAAAATTGCACAACTGTCAGATGGAATAACAATAATTCCTGGTGGCTGAGTATCCACAACTGCACAGCTGGGACACTGCTTGGGGCATCTTACCAAGTGTAGCAACTCTTACAGAATAATGCAACTGTATTCAGAATCAGAAAATGCTCCTTGGCACTGAGTTTGGAGCAGTGGGCAGAGGAAAACCAGCCCTATATTGAAAGTTGTGATTTATAAAGTGAATACTTCAAGGTACAGGAGGAGAGATGAGACAGGAGGGTAGGATGAGTACATCACCCCAAATCCATGAACTGTGCTCCAAGAAAAAGAGAGCACAGAATCACAGGATGGTTTGGGTTGGAAGGGACCTTAAAAATCAGTTTCAGCTGAGAATGAGAAGTGCACAGACCTATCCCATACATTCTAGTCCTGGAAAACCCAGTGTCTGTGGAGAAGGGCAGGCAGTTACTGGCTGTTTTCTACAGATGCCTTTATGGATTACAGCGATGGGAAACTTGAAGTCACGGGACCTAATGCAACAGCACATATCTTTGCAACATACCCAGCTCCATATCTGTCCCTCATGAATGGATTTGCAGATCAGGTAAGTGCACTTGCTGTCTTAATTCTGCAAATTAAATGTACTAAAATCTGCAAGACCAAGTAGTAAAAAAATACATAGATCTAAGGAGCATTGTGAATCTTACTGTTTCGGTCATATGTCCCTGTGTAAAATACAATGAGAATGCAATGCTGTTCGTGGGGGGGTTACCTTTTAGTAATATTTTACAAGCAAGACAATTTCAGGTTGTTCTTTTCACATCATCTTAATTGTTGTTTTCATCATCTTAATTGTTGCACTCTACCTATCTTCAGTGCAATATGTGTAAGAGGTTATCCTCAGCATAAATCAATGTTTCTCCATAAACCTCAGCAGAGTCATGTCCATTACATCAAAATCCAGCCCATTTTGTGGACCTTAAGTAAAGCTTAAGCAAACAGTTTAACACACCCTGAACAACTGAGTTTCCTGCTTCCACAAGCCTCCTCTTCAACCTTCTCTTTGCAGATAGATTTGTAGTATTTGCTGTCTATCCTCCAATATTACTTATGCAACAGTGAAAAAATGAAGTTGCATATCTTTTATCTACTTCTAAACTATTTACCCATATTCTTCAGTCATGCACGAAATAAATACTGCAAAAGTAAGGTATGAAAAACTAGGGATTGCCTGAGCACAGGATTCCTTATGTAAAAGATTGTGCAATCTGGTTTCAAAAAAATCCAAACAGTCTTTTGAAGTTTTGTAAGAAAGACAGTTCTGATCTTTGGATCAGTCAACAGATTTTTCCCTAAGATGTTTTTACCCATGAATGTTCTAAAAAAAAACTTTAAAAAAAGATGTAATAAAAATAATTTTTAAAACCCCCAAACTTGAACTTCTTTAAATCAGGATAGAAACTGAATGTTTTGACATCATTGAAGCTTCTGTCTGTTTTCCCATCGAGTTAATTATTAGCAAAATCAACATTTACAAAGCATTTGATTTTAGTAGAACTGCATTTCCATGGAAGCAATTCTAAGAAAATTTCCTTCATCAGCTCAATTAGCATATGCAATACAGAGTTCACGTTACAGTTATCCATGCAACATTAATTTGGGTCATTCCTAATTTTTAGCTGATCAGTTTTGACTTTGTAGATTTCCCTTTTTCTTCTGATGTTATGCAATACCTGGATAGAAAGGTGCAGATTTAGTCTAATTTATCAGCGAGAACTACAGGCATGTGAAACACTTCTATATCAGCATAACTGATTGCATTGGCATAGCAGAACTACCAAAAATTGAGTGAATAGAACTGTTAAATTGATAGGAAAAAAATATGGAAACAAAGCGTCAGACATCACACAGGAGATGCTTTTTAAATCCTCGGTTCTTTCCACACCAGGGTGTTGCAGATTACTTTTTTTAAGTGTCTTCAGCACACTTCTTGTCTTTGTCTTTCAGCAGAGATCAAAACATCTCATTGCTGTGAAGTAGAGAGGCATTGATTTCCAAATTTTTCTACTCTGTATAGTGGGATAAACCTAAATACCAGCTCTAAGCCACCCCAATCCACAGAACTACCATAGCCCCTCTTTTCATTATTGGAAAGAATCTGCACATATTTGCTTAATATTCTTTTCTTTGCCTTGGCCAGGTGATGTCAACAGCTGTTCTTCTTCTGGCTATATTTGCTATTTTCGACACTAGAAATAACAGCGTCCCGAAGGGCCTGGAGCCAATTGCAGTAGGACTTCTTATAATTGTTCTTACTTGCTCCTTGGGGATGAACAGTGGCTGTGCCATGAACCCGGCCAGGGATCTGGGCCCAAGGCTCTTCACAGCCGTTGCAGGGTGGGGGATGGAAGTGTTCACGTAAGTATGCCTGGATATGAGGTAAAATGCTCTTGGCTAAAATTGTTTCTAGGAAAGTAAGATCCTGATTCAACATGGTACCAAGCCATACTTTATATACATACAGGTAATTCTTTACATACCAGAAGCAGCGATTCATGCACTTTAAGCCAGATATCCTCGAGGAACTGGGCTTTAAAAAGGATTTCCTGCTCCCAGGGCAAATCAAACATGCATTATCTCTAATATCAATCATTGTTTCAAGCAGAACCTTCCCAAAATATTAGAGATTCTTAGAGGTCACTGAAAATATGAGTTCTTTCTTCTCATGTTCTGCAGCTTTCAGAAAAAAAAAAAAAGTGAAATCAGAAGAGAGTTAGGTGGAAGTATTTATTGGGTGCTGTAAGAAACACAGAGGTATTAGATTGATTTAGCCCATTACTACTATTGAGTTATTGCAGAAATACACAACAATCTAAAAGCCTGACTTCCTGCCTGGGAGTGAAGGAGTGAATGAAAGAAAGTTCCCTTCATGTTCCCACATTTCAGGGCACGCTCTCAAATCCCCGTGCATGGCTGTGCACACACACACATGCTCTTGGCTGGCCAAAGGCACAGCTAATTAGTCTCACAGCAAATCCACAGCTTACACATATCCAGTGCAAGAAGCACTCTGGGGTATCTAAGTAAGAGTAATCTGTCATCACAAAATTTAGGTTATTTTTGTTTGGTTTGGTTTTCCAGTTATTCACGAGTAGGAATCCCCAGAAGTACTGTCGGCCACTAGAGAGCTCTGGTTAATAGAGATTTTATTTTAGCTACTTCACCATGCACAAATAACTTGCATTTATTATGATTTCTATCTACACAAATCATGTGCCTACTTGGAGAGAGCACTAGCAAAGCTTTTCTCATACAAAAATAGCCAGGCATGGCATAGATGAAACAGGCACACAGTCACACCTTAAGCCAGAGCCAAGGCTGGGATGTAACACAGATCTGGTGAGCCTCTGGCAGGAGGTCAGGTCACTAGCCCAGTTACCTCCAAACTTCTCCTCCCCAGCAGCACCATTAGACGGCACTTTTTTTAAAAACAAGGGCACACAGAGTGACATCCCACACTTCAGATTCTCCCCTCTCATATCTTTGTAATTATAAGTAGTTGTTGACTGTGGTATTAACCATGGTATCATGTGCTATAATCTGTAACACATTATGAAGTTGGTTATTACATTACTTAAAAGGTTTGGAAGTTTGGAAGTACTGTGATCTAGTCACAGAATACCTGTGAACTCCCCTCCCCTCCAAAGCTAAGATCTTACACATTCACATCAAGGAAGCTACAAGAAAACTCTACATCTGTACCAGTATGGGCTCCTCCCTACTGTAGCTTTAGGATTTGTATACAGATTTGCAATCCCACTGTGAAGACCTTGCTAAGAAATTTTAAAATGTGAATAAACAAAATGAGATACAAGATCTCTGGTCATTGCCAGAATAAACTGGGCTTTATAAATTGAGGAAAAAGTCTTCTTGCCTGCCTTCGGTTAAAAGGCTACAGTTATAACCAAAGGAATGATAATTTCAAGGGAATGTTCTTATCTTTTTAGAGCACATATCCTGGTGGGACCTAGGAAGAATTTGAGCCCTGTTAGGTAGCTGGAAGAACCATGGGAGAACCCTGAATGATTGTAGTTAGGATCCTGAACTGCCTGATGCTCTGCTGGAGTTACATGTACATGAGCAACTTAAGCAGTGCAGCAACAGTTGACAGCTAAACCTTGGATGTCTCCATTTAACTGGAATTCACAACCTTGAGACAGGTGCTTAAGCTCTCTAGTAAAGGCATGCCCAGGATCTGGGACCTAAGCGTGAAACCTCCACAGTGACAGGAGGGGAGTGCTGCACAAACTGAGCAGTAGGAAATACTTGAGGAGACATTCCACATTTGAGGAAGCATCTCACAAGATGAGTCACTCTCTGCCCAAGTCAATGAGTGTTCAAATGTTGTCTACAGAGCAGGCAGGGACCACTAGGAAAGCCTCACTTGGGAACAGATCAGGTACCCAGGAGCAAAACTTTCTACACTATTCTCAAGCAAGTGCTCTAAACGTCGAGACAATTAGTTCATCCCCTCTACCCTTCTTTGTGCTTGCAGGTCCAGTAAATTCTGGTTTTATCATGTATTCAGGCAGTGAACTGCAAGTAGCCTGGAGGGGAGCTCTTCTGTTGGACCATAGAGTTGTCCAGAGGATAAGAAGGCAGTTAAGCAGAGGTTTTCTAAATGTTGCTGTTATTACATTTTGCACAAAGACACCTGAAAGAGCAGCTTCCCCAAAAATTAAGCCAGAGGACACAAGCTGCATTGTGGTTTCCCTAGCCCATAACAATGGGTTTGTTTTGGCTAAAAGCTCCCACTAGAAGCTGTTCTGTTCCACTGCAGCTGGAAAGGTGGTGTCAGTGCAGCACCCTCGAGAGCACCATTTTGTACACAATAAATGCAGTCAGCACTGGGCCTCCTCTTGCAAACTGCTGCTCAGCCTCTTGGGAGGAGGTGTCACAGATGTTGACTGTCCCCATCACTGGGGACAACAGCTGACTTTAGAGACCTCGGTGTTTCTAATGACTAGCCCTAAAACCATGGCGACAACCAGTCTTTCTTAAGCACATGCTTAATATTCTGATAAGCTTAAGAAAAGTTTTGGGGAGTAAAGTTTTGTCTGTAGTGAGAAAACAGCCAGATCTTTAAGTACAATTACCAGGCTCTATTTTCACAAGCAAAACAGAGCATGAAACAGCAACGATAGAGAGAGAAACAGCTGCACAGAGCAGCATTTCGTGTCAACATTTGAAGGTATCACTGGGATATTCCACCCCGGTTAGTTTTGGGTTCTCCTGCCCGTGGCTGCGGCGGGGTCTGGCCGCGACGAGCGGCGGCGGTGCGGGCTCGGCGCGGTAACGCTGACACCTCGTGGTCGCCAGCACCGAGGACGAGTCTCCCGGGCTAAACCGAACTGCACTTTGGAAAAGGTGCAGTCAGGAGGCGCATCTCTTGTCTGCACAGGGGCTCGGGTGGCAAAGCGGCCTCCGAAATGTTGAGCGCTCTTCCTGGAGTGCAGCACTGCAGCCCGGATTATCCCGGTGTTCCCTGTCCTGCAGCAGCTGGCCAGCGAGAAGAGTATCCGCAAGTCTAAAATGGGCCAAAGTTCCCAGTTCATGTAGGTTATACACTGTATTTCCTGGAAATTTTCACGGCTAGGCAAAGTGCCGCTGGACAGGTCCGTGTGCTGCCTCCTCCTCTCACAGCCGGTGCCTCCCACCCCACCCAGCACCAAGAACACCCGATGATAACAGAGGCAGAGCTGGGTGTTTTCCTACCAACTTGGCAGCAAAGCTGTGCACTGGGGTAAAGCCAGGGTATAAGGGCACTAAGGGTCCTTCAGTGAAGTTATTTGGGCTTGTCACAGAGAGTTCTTGCTCCTGTGGTGACAGGACTGTCATGGAAACTCCGAACTTGGCTGTGCCCCGATCTTGTTTCAGTTTTGACAGCACCTTCTATAAAGGTTTTACACCCAGAACCTTAACAGAGGGTGTCTAAAGCACAGCTGACAGCAGCTGCTGTGAATACAGGCCATGACTTGGAGAAGGTCATGTAGGAGCTGATGAGGCACATGCCAGTTTGTGGAACAAGACAAGAGAGACACCTGCCAAGAAACACCTTTTTTCCATGCCCATGTACACACACTTCCCAGAGAATAATACAAGCAAGTACTTGATGTAGATTTTGATGTGCTGATTAAGTCAATAAAACCTTAGTCCATGCTTGTTCCAGAAATTCAAGGGCGTAAGAGACATTCGTGATTCAACAACAAACAGATTTATAAAGTCAATAGGACAATATCAGGAGTTATTTTATATCCTCAGGGCAAAATACAAATAATTCCAAAGGTAAAACATACACATCCAAGGCATTTCTGAACAAGGAATAACAGTATCATCAATAGGGCACTGACACTTGCCCAGCTCTATTCTTGCATTGTGACTTAACCGGAAGTTCACTTCTGCTAAAAACTACAACTGAGCGGTGAATAATTATCCTTATAGCTTAAAAATTCCTCTGCACCTTCCTGTAAAGTTCTTCTCACAGATTAATTTGTCCCTTTGTATTTCTGGGAGGAAAAAAAATCTCCATTTTCAATATGCATGAAATTGAGGTAGCTGGATTTTCACTGGAGACTCACATATTCAATTAATACAGCATGTTATCCCATCAAAGCACCTTAATGCATCAAAACAGTTCAGAGAGTCTGCTCTGAACCCAGTACTCAGTTATTTACTGTCTGAATGTGGACCTCCAGGAAAGGGAGAGCAATTCTATGAACCTTATTTTCAAGCATAAGAACTTATTTATAGTTTGACACAGGTGGACTACTTACTTTAAAAAATGTTCATAAATCTACATATTTAAAATTAAATCATAGTAATTATGCAAAGTGATTGTAAACATTTCAGTGGAGCCAACTTGCCAGATTCTCTTAGTGAATACAGCAATTCTAAGCAAGATTTTTAGGCATATAGAACTTCTGAATGTCTATTTGCCTCTTACTGAAAGACGTCACATTTTAAACACAGAGATAAAATACTACATCATGAAATTTGAATCTGGACCGCTCCAGTCAAAGATAATCCACTTTATAGTCTCTGTGTTTTATTACAGTCCTTAAGGGAAATATAATCAAAATCAAGTATGATCTCCTACACATATCAAGAGGAACACCATATATACCATTACCGGTGTGAACCTGCAACTTTCCATGTGCATGAGATAACCCATTTTTGTAACATACATTTGCCTTGATTACTCTTGACAACCAATTTACAAGCATCTGGTGACAGCACTAGTCAAGACTGCTGGGCAATAAATATGTCCCCGTTCATTTCATTGTAAGTCAATGAAGCCCACTTTCCACAACAGAGAAATTACCCTCTGTCCCCAAACAGACATGCAGTAAAAAGGCCTTATTTTCTAAGGTGCAACCAAACCAACGTGCCTGGTGCTTGTTACTTAGCATTCCAATCACAGCCTGGGCAGGGCAAACAGGGGTGTCATCCATTTACAGAAATGTGAGACAAAATAGAAAGGTCTATGCTGCAGTGAGTGTCACTGTATCTGTTCATTGACAAATATACAATAAAGTGTTCACTTGAGTAGCAAATAATAGTTATTCATGTTCTTTTTTGTCTTACAGGGCTGGTAATAATTGGTGGTGGGTCCCTATAGTTGCACCTCTGCTGGGAGCTGTACTTGGAGCAATGACCTACATTATTTTT